AGGGAGAGAGTCATCGTCTGAGCGTTGTGGAATCTGTCAACGGCATTTAGTAGCCGTGGGTGAGGAGCAAAGAGCGGCATGACTTACTTGGCGTGCGGAGGCCATCGCGGGTTGTGGATGTGCGTCTCATTCCAATCGGCAAGATACGCGCCGAAGAGCAGCAGGATGCCATCAAGGGTAAGCAGGACGCGGCCAAACATCTTGTAGGTAATGTATGTGTATGTATGTAAGTATGTTTCTCACGTAAGTTCAGCGCCCTCACTTCTGCAGCCTTGAACTGCCAAGCACCAATTGAGTTGCGGAAAGTCTGCCCAACCTCACAAACGGCGTCAAAATCGCAGAGGGCTGCATGCTCTCTTTAAACGGCCCCCCCCCCCCCCCCCCCCCCCAACGTCATCTGCAGAAGGCGTCCGATCTTTGACAGAGCAGAAACATGTCTTGCAGGAGAAGCCGCTAAACCGACACTTGTTCTCGTTTTCCCGCGCGCAGAGTTCGCGCTCCGACGACGGCCGCCTGAGTCGCCTTTCCCATGGCGCGAGCGCGTTCGTTGGCCCCTCAATGCCGGACTTTGGGGATCTCCGGTAGTTCCGGCCCCGGTCCCGATGAGGCAGTGGATGTCGCGCTTCGGAGCCGGGATGACTTCGGATGGCGATGGATGTTTACAAATACGCTGTTGGCGAATACGGCAACCGCGCGGGTGATGGTGTGTTTGAAGGAGTGGTCTTTCTCGATCACCGAGAGATTCGGTTCGGATTACGCGATTTTACAAATAAAAAGACCAACTTCGTGCTTGCGGGTGACCTATCGTACAAATTCTTCGGTGTTTTTCATGATGTGCGAAGTCGCGAAGGGATTCAATCCGATGGGCGAAGGGCACGAACGGGACCGAGACTAACTGCTAAATCATGGAGAATGCTACGCTATCGTTCACTTATGGAACTGGATTGGTCATTCTAGCCGGGCCGCTCCGTCTATCTGGATTGCTCCGTCCCTAGATCTTTCTACCAGGTCGCTCAAAGAAATCCTCATTTCATTGGAATGCTTTTGATTGGTTTGCGATGCTGCTGTAGTCTGTCCCGCTCCGTCTCGTTGGCCGGTCGGCCTCGGCTCCGATGCGGAACAGATCTCGCCGGCGGCAGCGGCGCCGCAATGGGCTCCGCTCCGGCTCAGGAATCGAATCTTGCCAGAGCAAGCTACTGAGCAGGATTGACACTATATCCAGCTCCTTTCTCAGCAGTTCAGCATGAAATTTGAGCAGAGTTGCATATGTACAAGCAAAGACGTCCGACGCCTTGCAGTGTTTCACCCTTGCGATCGGACTAGTTTGGGGCCGTGGAGTTTGCTGAACTTCTTGTTCACAAACATCTTCCATGTCTCTACGAAAGCTCAACAAGCTTCTGAGGTCACCAAATCATACGCGTAGTCATTTGACCAGCTCACGGCACATAACTGCTGATATTCTATTTCTCATGCCGGAGTAGACGCTTAGTGTAGTCGGTTTGCAGAGAGAAAGAGATCACTTTTCCCCTATGCAAGATGCACTCTCGGACATGGGTTGGGGAAGTGGTCGTGCGGCCGCAAGGTCATGACGCCATCAAAACATCAAACATCGGCAGCCGGGAAGCTCATCCCTACAACAAGGCTCAAGCTCCCAGTACCTGCTTGCTGAGCTTCTTTTGACCTCTCACTTCTCATTAATTCTTTTCTGTCCCTGGACCCGACCTTCGTTCATACCCCTTCACCAACAGAGTCATCCCAAAGACACCACAATGGCCACAAGAAAAGTCCTCATCCTCGGCGCGACCGGCAAACAAGGCTCCGCCGTTATCGACGGCCTCCTCAACCTCCCACGCGCCAGCCCTTCCCTCGAACTCCTCGCACTCACACGAAACCCCGCCTCCGCCAAGCTCAAATCCCTCTCAGAGGCCGCCAAACCCAAGGGCATCTCCCTCGTCCCCGTCGAAGGCGACCTCAAGTCGCCCATCCCCGTCTTCCGCGCCCACCCGCGCATTGACACCTCCTTCATCGTCACGACCCCCGGGAATGAGCACGTCGTCGGCAAGGCCTGGGTCGACGCCTCCATCGACGCCGGCGCGACGCAGATCGTGCTCACCTCCGTTGACCGCGGCGGCGAGGACCGCTCCTGGGAGAACCCCACCGACGTCCCGCACTTCTACCAGAAGCACGAGATCGAGGTGCACCTGCGCGACCGCGCCGACGAGCTCGAGAAGAGCGGGCGCAGGCTGCGGTGGACCATCCTGCGGCCAACCGCGTTCCTGGACAACACCAACCCGGGCATGTTCGGCAAGGTATTTGCGTCGATGTGGTCCACGCTCCCGGCCGACCGCTCACTGCAGTTTGTCTCTGTGAGGGATATCGGCCTGTTTGCCGCCCGCGCGATCGCGGAGCCGGAGAGGTGGGACCGCCGGGCGCTGTCGCTGGCCGGCGAGGACATCACCTACGCCAAGGCCCGGGAGGTCTTCAAGAGAGTTGTTGGCAGCGAGATGCCGCAGACGTATGGGTTCTTTGGGCGGGGCATGATGTGGGCGATTAACGACGTGGGGAGGATGTTTGAGTTCTTCAAGAGAGAAGGCTATGGGGCGGACATCCAGATGTTGAGAAAGGAAGAGCCCAGACTGCAGGACTTTGAGACTTGGTTGAAGGAGAGCAGTGAATGGAAGAATGAGAAAAACGGTATGTAAGATTGTCAGAACATGGTGGTTTGGGAGTTATCTTGGCGTTGATCGTATCTCACTCAGTCCGTGGAAGACTGTGATAAATTCTGAATCAAACTGATCGTTTTCGCGGACCATGAACACGATTCTCGCGGTGCCTTGAGTGTGAAGTTCGCGAAGCCTCACGGTCTGCCTTCTATTGATCGGCCGGATTGCCATCTCACAGCCCCAAGGCATCAATCGCCGCCCATCGCTTCTGCGGAGTAATCCAGCAAATAGCTCCTTGCCAAGACTGTAGGGCAGAACGGGCGGAGCCATGTGTCACGATAAGTCGACCACTCTCGACCAGCGCCCAATACTCTGATGTCATTCCCGCCCGACTGCGCCGCATCAGCACATAGCCCAAGCGACCTCGCTGCAAAGGCCTCCGCGGGTTGAATCCTTCAACCGCCATTGGGACTTTTGTCACTAGACCGACTGTTCCAGCCCCACGGTTTCTGGTTGCTAGAAAACCATTTTGCCAATTTGAACTCGCCAAGCCAATTTGCTGGAGCTCATTCAAGTGACCCGCGGCAAGCTGTCACTCCAAAAAGGAATATTATGACGCCGAGCGACAGGGAATCTCTACGCCCGACTTGTGTTTGTCACTCGGCGCTAAGCATCTGGAGTTGTCGATCTGCGGTCTGGGGAAAGCAAGCTTAATTGCTTACCCCTTGCGGGTGGCACCGCCCTCATGGTCACGATGGTGCCGGTGGCTATTAAAAGGAAACCCTTTTCTCCGATGTTCACAGGTTTTCACCCCATGCTGCCGAAGCACACTTGCACCCAAGTGAACTTGCCAAATCCGTCAAAATGCCTACCGCGACTTCAACCTCCCAATACGCCATCACCAACGTCGGCCCGCTGACAACGGTCTTCACAACACCAACCTCCTGCGCGACCGCATCACCAGACTTGTATCTCGCAATCAGCGGTGCATGGGGAGCCGACCGCGTCGCAGCTTACTACAAGCAAAACTGTGACGTCTCACAGTTGGGCGAGTGCTTCCCCTCCGGCAAGCAACTCGACGACGCGTTTTCCGCGGCAAGCACCCAGGCGAATAACGACCGCGCGACAATCGCATACTTCTCACCTGCCAGCCAATGCCCAGACTCATACACCACCGCAGGCTCAGCCCACAGGGGCAGCGACGGCAACGTCACGTCGTCCGGCATCTTCGTGCCACCGGTTGTGACGAGCGGTTTGCGCGCCGGCGGCCTGATTGGCTACAACCCGCCGCTGAACGTGTTGATGGAGGTTCTTGACGAGGATGAGACGGCAATTGTTTGCTGTCCCGAGTAAGTTCCCCGGATCCTTGGCTCATCTCAGATTATTAAATGACGGAAAAGAAACTACACTGTCGGCATCAACGGCGGCTGCTTCTCAACAGTCCCGGAATCTGTGTATGGTGAAAAGACAGCCTGCGGGAGGGTCATCCCAAACGATGTCTACACCGAGGTCACGGCCGCCATAACCTACAACAACACCGTCGTGACGGGTCGTGTGATATCGTACACCGCCTCGGGTCCCATTGAGTACAGCACTCGCACCGCAACGTACACGGCCTCCGCGATCACTGAAAGTATGTACCCAGTCGCGTACAAGCCGGCCGTCACGTTGGTGAACAAGGGCGAGGCCGGAGAGACCGGCGGTGCCAGCGGTAGTGGGAGCGACACTGCGGCTCCATCGGGTACGGGGGCTAGTGCAGCTCACGGCATGAGGATGACTACCTCCGGAGGTGGTGTTGGGATCTTGGCTACGGTGTGGACTTTCGCGGCGCTGGCTGGTGTTGCGCTTGCCATGCCCTTTTAAGACGAGTGGGATGTTTTGGGGGTATGAAGAATAATGCACATGATGAGATACCCAGAGGCTTTTCACTAGTTTTTTTGAAAAAGATCTTTTGAACCACCTGCCTATTGAATCACGCTGCTTTGCCGTTGATCCGCATCTCCACTGCGAGGGATTCGCCGGCCGCTGGCCAGGCAGCAATCCTGCACAAATCGATTCGACCTCAGGATTAGGTCTGCAAATGCCAAGGGTGGTCAGCGCTGGTCGTCTCTTATCGCGAATGAATCCTCGCATCTTTGGCACACAGCGGGCCGCTTACCTTGTTACTTGCCATATATAAGCAGACCGGCTTCTTCTCAAACGATCATGGCAGTGCTCGTCTTATTGCTGTCTCTGATTTCAACCATTTTGCCATCATCGCAGTCGAACCAAGTCGAGTCAAGCTCGCCGAAGAACGCATCACTTTTCATCCAGGAACATTCCTTCCCCACCATCATCATGTCGGCAGAAGGGAACTATACACAGCTCAGCAATGTCGCCAATGACGATGACATCGATGCCGAATATGTCAAAATCTACATGATGACAAAGCTCACCGAAGAAGAGGAACAGAAGTACCTGAAGTCTATCGACGGAACGGTAGACCAAGACGAAGGGTCCTGGGTCCATCCCAAACTGGTCCCATGGACGTCTGACACAGACGGCACCACCGACAAAGACTTACTCCAATACTACAAAAAGATCAAAGAGGAAGAAGGCCCAGAGTCAGAATTCTATGGCTTCTTCGCCGACCGCAAGAGCGTCGAGGAAGGGGGAACCATCCTGGTCGACCGGGCCTGGTACGCGCTCTGCACCTCGAAGAAGGCGAGCGAACAGATCTCGGATTTGGCGAGAGACAATGGGATAGAGATGACTGCTAAAGATTGGATGTCGATGCCCGGATATGCGGAGGATCTCATGGATCTCGCACTCGAGCGCGGTATCGTGTGGGGAAGGGAGGCTGGGTCGCAGTGGAAGAGTGACTGGATGAATCTGGACGTTTCAAACATGGATACGGGTGAGCTTCTCGAGGATAAATTTGAGATTCTTTTGGATACGGAATGGAATGCTGCACCGTTTTTGGGCAGGCTTAGGGAGGAGTTGGACAAGACGCAAGATCCCGAGGACAGCTAGTACTTTGCGTTTTATGTTACATCGCGTCACCTTTAGCAATTTATTGACACAGACATCTTAGTTTTCTAACGACCCGTAGTTTCCCATGTCTCAACTTGATTAATTGAACGGGGTTGAATACCTCCAGTGTCTAAGACTGGATCAATCACACAGGTCTAGAAGATAGCCGTAGTAGTCGAGGTCAAGCCTGATACTAAACTTGTGGCAGTCCCTGATGATTTGCGCGTTATATCGGCGCCACATGTCTTTCCTGTCATTTACCTCTCCAAACCAATCCTCAGAATTCTCCAAATGCCATTCTGCCATGACTTTGCATGCGCATATCATCAAGTCCGGATCGCGAAGGTTACGAAGACACCTGTTCGCTTCAGACCAATTATCTGCTTCAACTGCTGAAAGCCAGTCCTGCAACATGCAGTGTCGAAGGACGCTCCGCTTATGGAGCCTCTGGTGCATTTGCTTCTGTGCTTCCAATGAATTCCTCAACAGGTAATGCAGACACGCTCCGGAGTACTCAGGGGACTTTGCCGCTGCCAGTATCGCATTCGTTCCGTCTTTGTCGGATATCCAGGGATTTGCTCCATGTGAGAGTAGTTGTTTCGAGTGAAAAAATACTGTATCCCTGTTCTTCTTTTCATTTAACAGCAACAATAACAATGGCGTTCTTCCTTTCTCATCTTCCTTGTTCGGGTCTCCTCCTCGCTCGAGAACGATTTGGAATAGGGTGTAGAACATATTGTCGAACGGGATTGTGGATGTGGTGCTCTGAATACAGTTCTTTGACAAAACATGCAAGAGAGAGGCTCCTGGCTCAAGACCTACGCATGTCGGGGCTATCAAGTCTGCGGAATAGCATATCGTTCGTGCCAGAGCGATGTCAAAACTCTCGTCATCCCCCACGCGGGGCAGTATGTCAATATATGCCACTGTCAACGACTCTCCTGTGGGAAGCAAGGTGTCTGGATTTGCCCCTAACTCGATCATGAGGCAGATAATGTCTGTCCAGCGGCGACAAACTACCCAATCCTTGAGTTCCCCTAAAGTTGCCAAAAGTACCTCAAGGGGCATTCGGCCGTCTGGAAATGGCATCGTGGCACTTGCACCTCGGGAGAGAAAGAAGTCGAGGGTAAGCCTATGCTGCTGCAAGACATAGTGGAAAGGGGTAAATCCCAATCGATTGGGGGTATTGAGAGTGCAACGTTCGTGGTCGATCAAGGCGTGAAGAGTGTTGCTCTCGCCCATCTCAGGCGCCGAATTTTGTGCGGCAATATGAGCCGGTGTGTTACCATTGGCATCTTTTATCGTTGGGTCTGCAAGATGTTCCAGGAGAAGAAGGGCAATGTCATAGGATGCAGCTAGATGCAGCGGGGTCTTTCCAAGTCGCCCTTTAGCGTCCACCGTGGCTCCGTGGTCAAGCAAGAGGATGACGATCTCGACAACGCCTTTCTCTGCAGCGTAGTGAAGTGCTCCGTTACCCAAAGCGTCTTTGACGTCCAGTAGTGAGGAGAAGTCCTGTAAGGCTTTTTCAACCTTACTCTTGTCCTGTCCGAGGACAGCCAGATGTAGATCCGTCTTTCCGTCCGCACGGTATGGACTAGAGAGAGGATCAGCGATCCTTGGGGATCGAATTCGAGCAACGACTTCGGAAACGGGACCGATTCTGGAAAGCGCTCGCAGGGCAACATTTCCATCAGAATATGAATGGCTTGTAAGAGTTGTTGGAGCAGAAAGCGTCGGGGCGCTGATCGTGGAGTTCGACCTTGCTTGGCGTCAGCCTTTTCAACTCGTTGACTGCAGCACAGTGAATGCATGTAGCTCACCTCGTCTCCGCTGCTGGGATCGACACAAGTGGAAGGAGTCCTCCCATAGCTTCGTCTCCGGTGGCAGTAGGGGAACGAGAGAGTGAAGGGGAGCGAGCTTTTTCACTTGACCGTTGACCATTATGAAGTTTGTACTTCATATAACCCCATTTGCGTAGCTGGCTGTGATATGATCGCTCCCTGAGGAGAAAGTCAACGCAATCAGCAGGTATCAAAATCTATCATTCGATGCAGCTTACGACGCTTTAAATCCGTGACGAGCCTCGATTATCCTCATCACATCTTTGAGTTTTTGATTCTCTACGCAGTAAAGTTGCTGGACATCTGCTCGAAGGCTTCGCCAGTCTTTAGTCATCTTGGGTACTTGCGAGATGGCTCCAGCAAGGAGGAGTCAGAAATGAATACAACGGTTTTCTTGTAGACATGTAATCGTGACAAACATCATCCCAACATCTGCAGTTGAGGTTCGACAGCCGTGGCTCAATCTGGAGCAAATCCTTTATCTACTTGGTGGCCAAGTTGAAGCGCCTGAGGCTGAGAGGCAAAGCTGGTACGGGTCAATTGCCAATTTGCATATGCAGCTGAGCCGCCATCACAAATGATAAAGACGTGAGGAGGGCAGCTTCTGCAAGTCCAGTTGGCCAACACCGCTGCAATACAATACGACATCAAAGTGCAAATTTCAATTGATTGGATATCCCGTTGCATCGCATTGCATCCCATTATCTCCCTAGTGGGGCCATTGTTTGGCACTATACTAGAAAGAATTTGCATTTTGCCCATTCAGGGCTGATTTGCAGTTTCCGTATCTGCAAAAACTACAGCAGGCGTGGCAGGCTTTGACCCATGTCCATTTGACAATTGCTCAACTTACGTTCCGCGATTTAGATATATGAGCAATCATATTGCAGATTATGTCGCCTTCACATTCGTGCTTGGTCTTTTATGTTCAATCGTCGGGCGGCCGCCGGGACTTGGTCTCCCGACCATGCGCTGACCGCTTCGATTCCAAAGCGTCCCCCGAGTATTGCAACAAGGCTCGCGAAACTGTTGTCCTCTCAGAGACCGATGCTTTGTTCTTCGTCTTTCAGGCTTAGGAAAGAAACTAGTTCCAAGGTTCGCATTTGCTGGGCATAGATGGCGGGCGACATGGGGCCTGGGCCCTTTTTGCAAGTTTAGTCCCCAAAAGCACCCATAGCATTGACCTTGCATCATCAATTGCTGTGCATAACCCTTGACAGTATATCTGCAGTTTCTCTACCTGACAATATTCTTGCATATCTCAAGAGACCACTGCAGATTATCAGCGCTGGGCAACAGATGGTCAAAAGTCACATCTTTGATGACGCTGAATACTTCCCTAGTCCCCTCGTATATATAATGATCACTATGAGCCTAAGCATAGGTAGTCTTGGAAGGTTGAGCTCATGCAAGAGTTCAAGGACAAGCCTTCCTCCGGCGACTCATCTTTGCTTGACATTTCAGACTGCGGCAGTACTGGTTCGACTCCCCGTCGATTTATTCAGCCACGGCCCATATTTCCACTGCGGTAGACATGGCATCGCTCACGGGCGCGTCGAGACCCTCGCATGCCGTTTCAGGGTACAGTTTCACTCGCAAACATGCGCTCTATGAGACCCTATTTTTCCAAACTATGCTGATATTCTGGGACCGAAGGCCCGATACCCTTAGCGCGCCGGGTTGCTCGACCCAACGGCACGATGGCAATAGCTCCCTTCCTAACGAGCATGAGCGAGAACAACCGCCGGAGCTATCGCACAGTATGATCCAGCGGCATGCTGAGAATACTTCCACGGACATTGACAGTCTCGAAGAAGGTCAGAAAAGGAATGGGCGGACTCTCGTACGCAATCTTGAGTCACTGGGGCTCACGTTGGAGTCTGAAGTAGCTGAAAAGGTGGCCAGAAACAGTCATGGAATGAGTCCTATGGAAAGACTCACGAAGGAATTGCAAGATTCCACGAGAAAGAGCTGTTGACTACATCTCAAAACCGACACTTGTTGCACAAATTCATATCACATCCTTCTTCCCTGTGTTTACAAAGCAAGATGGCGGCGCAGGGTGCAACCTGCGTGCTTGTCGATTTTAGCTACCTGTCTGGTCGAACAATCCTAGTCATGTGTGCCAAAAATACTTATTGAATCTCAAAAGGCTCTCCTACTATTCTAGTTATTCACGTAATTTCGCGGTGAACAGAAGTTGGATGATGATGTTGGGCGGATGTGCAGAAATACGTGGCTTCTGACTGATGGGTCCAAAGGAATGGACTCTCACATGCCAGCATTTCACAATACCTCACAATTCCAGGCTCAGCATCCATCAGTCAGTAAAGCCATGACATAACATACCAAGTACCCCCACCCCGGAATCCCTGCTAGCATAGTTAATCATCACGACGAGGTACCGAATCCGACGGCTGACCTTTGTGACCGTCGAACAATTTTTCGTACCCTCAATGTGCCACAACATTAGCATGTTACTCTGCACTGTCAATGTGGCGGTTCAGAATTACAAGAAGGGTGCCCTGGCGACCGTCGTTGCTGGCGTCAAGGCCTACTCGATACTGCACAGATTCCAAACAGGATCTGGGGCCTGAGTTGAACACCTGTTGAGTCGTTGGTGTTTCCCTGCGGAAAAGCTGAACTAGGTCTGAAAGAACGGAATTCGTAAGCTGCGAGCATTTCAAAACACAGAGTGGGAAGGAAAACATATTGGTCCATTCTCTTACCTTCAAGTCAAGGTATGACGATAGAATTCGTCGATGCTCTTATCCCCATTCCTATGACAATGATATATATGTCACTGAATGCCGTCTTCTCGCATCTGTTCGGCAATCAACGCAATAGTAATCTCTGGTCCTGCTCCTAAAAGTTTGGCTGTGGTGCTTGAGCGTCAGGCGAGTTGGTTGGTCGAAAGATGGCACGAAGAAGATTACATGCCATATGCATCATAGCTAGCTTGAACCAGCTCGATTGCATCGCTACAAACCTTTTTCGACGGGTTCAGGGTCCTAACCTTCGGCAAGCGCCAGTCGATGATACGGCGGCAGGCCTCTGGATTGTGCGAGAAGGTCAGGAATTTGGGTTAAGGCCAAGTCAGTCATGTTCAAACTTGTCTTACGTGTGAAATACGATAATAGCTTCTCCAGTACTGCCAGAAAGACTGGATGCAGATTCCGTCTCCTCATCTGAGCTTATGTTGGCTGAATGTAAGAGAGTTACTGCCTGGTAATACAATTCCGGCTGAGTGATTGAGAGTGCAGGCCCCATAAGACTTACATCCCAATCTTGCTGGTATCGGCATTGGCGAGCACCTTTCAGCATCGCAGAAGGCAACTGGTCATTCAGGGGCGTTCTGCGTGTGTTGTTAGCATGCTTGTGCCGTTGCGCCAAGGCCATGACTTTGAGGATACAGTGCATGGCGCATCCTTCAGTCCGTACAAGATATGGTACACGGTGAGCAAAGCTTCGCTCGGTTTAGCGCGCGACCTGATTACCAAGTTTGCCCAAATACAGAACATGGGCGCAGGGAAACAATAGAAAGGATAGGTATTCTGTTACTACAGAGTCCTAACCGCAATTGTAGGCGTGCGGGCTGTTAACGGCATGCTGAGACTTGACCATGCCTGTCTTTGAGTATAGAAATGACTTCAATTTCGGAACGGTTTCTTGAATCAAGGTGTTGATGGGTACTTCATGCCCTCAGTCACAACGACAAGGATTTCAGAAGAGGTAGTCAATTACGGGAGGAATACACAGCAAAACGGCATAGCTATCCATAGCTAACATCAACTTGAAGCTCTTTCGATTTGCCCAGCATCATGCCCATGCATTTACGCATCTCCTGAGTTCAATAGAGTCTCCGCCTCACTCTCGGATCCATCCGCAGGTAACTACGGGTAGAACAGATCTTGTACGTCCCAGTCTAAATCATCAATCACAGATGACTCATAATAGATATCCCAGTCTGAGTCCCAATCAGGACCCAAGTCTGCGTCCGAATCCGTGTCGCAATCTGGATCTGTATTGCACGGGCTTCCTGATTTCAAACAGTCAGCGCAATTGGGCTCTACCCATTGCATCTGAGTATCGTTTTTCGTGACGAAGATCTGAATCACCTTATCCTTCTTGTGCCAATTGCCGACGCAGTAGAGTTTGACACCACGCTTTTGAAGCTCCCGAAAGATGAAGCATGCCATGCGGTACACGGGCTGCAGCTTGTGCAAATGGGAAAATACCACGTAGCTAATCGGTCGGATGCCTGCATGTCGAGTTTTCCTACGATAACGTCTCCGCCAAATCCAGCCGCACTCTATCCACACCTCCTTGAGACTAGGCATTTTCAGGGTTATTGCGAGACGATCGCGGCGGACTGGGTCGGTGCAGTCCAGGAGGGGGACATGATAGTGCTGAATGTAGTCGAGGACTGTCTGCGCTCCGCCCCCCGGGCTGTGCAAGGTCCGTATGAGACGCTTATCGTCGGCTGCTACCTCTAGCTCCAGGGCATTGAAAGTGTTCCACGCATAAGGTTGGTGTGTAGTTGCGAAAAGGTCAATCTCAGGGAGGACCAGCGCTGTGACAGGCTTATTGTCCAGGTGATAGAATGCTGTGGCTGGGCGAAATTTTCGTTGAATCAAGTGGCAGGTTGCTTTGCTTACCTGACGAAGAAGCCCGGTAGCTCGAAATCGTTGTCTAAGAACCTTGTTCCGATACTTATACTCCATTTGGTTGTGGAGCGCATCCTCCTCGCCGGCAACCCCCAGGGAAAGTCTTCCAGTCCATGTCTCCACGTCACTGTAAAGTAGTAGCCAGGTGATGGGTTACTGCGATTTAACTGCTTCATCAATCAGAACATCGAATACCAGCAAGAGAATATCATTGGGGATAAGTACTTGTGTCTTGGAGTTGAGCGTCTTTTGGAGAAGCATATGAGCTGGATGAGACGGAAGCATGTCGTTGGTTTTGAATGAAGCGTTGTAGGCTGGCGTGGGTATACGAGTTTAGAATATTGAAGTAGTTGCTACGTTACGTTCTATGAGTCTTATTTAACAGGTTGCTCTTCCTAGCCGACTTTTATTATCTGGCGCACAAAACGACAGATGTTGCACAATGAACAATACAGAAAACAATCGGGAATGAGAGTAGCATTAAAAGGCTGAACAGTACTAAGGGACTTTTGCACAAAGACTACAAACATCAATGCCACAAGTACATATCTTCTTCGACATTTACCCGCCATTGTACCGTCTTGCTAGACGTACCAAACACAACCTCTCTCAACCTATGGAAATGCGCCTCGCGGAACGAAAGTGCTTGTCGGCTGTGCATCTGATTGGGCCGCTTATGAAATTAATATTGGGCGCTATTGGGCATGTTGGTCGCAGCTGATGATAAAATGCTGGTGCCCCCGCGCCCGGTACAGGTCTGGATTCAGGCTTTGGTCATCTTCTCCGCAAACTCGTTAGTAACACAACATGATGTCTGATCCCTCGCCTGCTTTAGGCCCAAAGACGAAGCAAGCTCTCACATATGACTCCATGCCATTGTCACCATTGTGTTCGATTTGCAGATTTGTTCTTGAACAAATATCAGTACAGCACGACTCTTTACTTTTGGAAAATCTAGCAGAGTGCATCTCAACGCCGGAGGGCCAGACCTTGGAGCGATTCCTCAAAGCCGTCAAGGATGAATGCTTCATATGTTATCGGGTATGGAATTACGACCGAAGTCGCGCTGAGAAGTGGGAAAGCCTTGGTGCGACCAATTGGCGTCCTTTGACATACTCCTATTTTGTTTCTTTTGAGGAGAACGGTGTGATAATGAGATTGAAAATGAAAGTGTACCAGCAGAGTGCTGCGGCAGTATTCTGGGACGTAGATGAAGCACCTTCGTTCGTACTGATCGACACAAAAGGTAAGCCCAAGCCTTTAATCTTCGGAGCTCATTTGCTCATCAAACCAAGAATCATCTTGCCCGCCTGAACGGCTGGTCGCTCCCAGTGGCAACAACACCGGATCTCCCGAGGTGCTGCAAACAGCTGCCGACTGGCATCATTTCTGTCGATTAAATCACAGCAAATGCTCGAGTCTGCCGACTCGTAAGCCCGGATGGATACCTTCGCGCCTGGTGGATCTTGGCCAGGCCCAAGATGAAAGTTGGAGTCTCATCATTACTGATGACCAAGCTGGCAGGCTGATAGATGCCCAGTACGCGACACTCAGTTATAGATGGGGATCAAAGCCACAAGCCTTGATGCTCAAAACCTCAACATTGGGAGACTTTCTCGGCGGAAAGTCAATCGCCGACCTACCTCAGACATTCAAGGACTTCATCGTGGTAGCCCGTAAACTTGGCTTCAAGTATATATGGATCGATTGTCTATGCATCATGCAGGACTGCGGCCAGGATTGGAACCACGAGGCATCTACCATGAGAGATGTGTACGCGAATTCCGGTTGTAATGTTGTGGCCTGCGCCTCGTCAGATCCTGGAGGGGGGCTGTTCCGATACAGAAACCCCAGCGATGTGTCCCCTGGCCTAGTGGAAACTCGTCTATCATCAGGGCAACCTCAGAGATTCGTTATTTGGGATGATATGCTCGAGGACAGGAATGACAATGTAACAACTCTGGCGGACCGCGGATGGGTGTTTCAGGAAAGATTCCTGGCCCCGCGGTTGCTCTCCTTCCACGGTCAGCGTATCAGCTGGGAATGCTGCGAAGGCCGTAAGTGGGAGGGCGTATCCCAGCGATTTGAAGACTCAATCAGCATCATGGACGAACTGCTAGCCTCTGTTCAACAGAGCGCTGAAGCTTCATACGGGGAAATGACAGAAGCCACTTTAAACCACTGGGGGAAGCTGGTGGGCTTGTATTCACAATGCAAGCTCACCAAATCCGAGGACAAGCTTGTCGCTTTTGCTGGTGTTGCCAAAGCCTTCCAAGAGCTTACCGGCGACACGTATCTAGCTGGGGTTTGGCGGTCGCAGCTGTTCGCACAGCTGAGTTGGACGGCTCGGGAGAAGACGAGTGCGGTCCAATTTCCCAAGAGATATAGAGCGCCTTCATGGTCATGGGCATCTATTGACAGCCCAGTCTGGCTACGGCTTTACGGGAAGGTTCCAGACTGTGAGAGGCATAAAGCATTGGAGATAATAGATGCCGGCGCAACTTCCAACGCCTTTGAGGGAATGGCCGATGTGTGTGATGCTTGGTTAAAAGTACGAGGCACATGTTTTGGATGTTCGTATAAGAAGCGAAGGTATGAATTTTTTCACTGTTGGCCTGATACTGACATTGGTTTTGAACTCTACGGGTGGATGATAGCGGATGTTACGGAATACGAGTTTGCAGATGAGGGTCGGACTATTCTTTTGCTTCACGCGGTCAGTTCACGTGATGGTTATTGGTTTGCCGCCGATGCCATGATTCTGCTACCCGTGAACGGCCCGGGAAATTTGTACAGAAGGATAGGTTGGGCAAATTTCGTACCTTGGGATCCAAAGAGCCCCCCTCGGGATCGAAAGAGCCCCTTGGACCTAGTCCTGTCTCCCAGAATCGAGAAGGCCGAGCTAGTCATCGTGTAATCAAGGCGAGGAATTGCCCAGGGCAACTTGAATGAGATCATGAAATCATGAGGTTATCAATATCATAGCAGCCATCTTCCATCTCACCATCCATGCCCAGAAGCGTCTCGGGAGTCATCGTCCAAGTCTCCCAAACCGTCCTCAATCTCACTCACGCCGCCCTTCTTCCTACCTATCCCCTTCTTCTGCCTCTGTCCGTACGGTGGGAACGCATGCTTTTCGAGTGAGAGCTATAATCATACAGCTAGCTTCCGAGTTAAAGAACAGATATCTGAGGACGGGGTGCGTCGACGCCCATTGTGCATCCTCCCACGGGAATGGCAATTTCCTTCAACGAACTCCAATACAGAGAGATTATCATCATTTAGGATAAATTGTAAGACATTGAGAATTATTCTAGCTCATATCCTGGATTCCGGCTGATCGTACATTCTTATGGGTATCATTATCGTGGCAGTCATCTTCCATTCTTACTCCTTACCACCCATCTCCAGAAGGGTCCCAGGAGTCCCAGCCCAAGTCTGCCAAGCCCTCCTCAATCTCACTTACGCCTCCCTTCTTCCTACCCATCCCCTTCTTCCTCCTACCAGTCTTCTTCTCCTCCTTCGCACCAGCTTCAGTAACCCTCGTCTTGCCCATCACCTCCACGAGCTCCTCTTCAACCACATCCTTCACCTCAACCACCCCCAACTTCCCGCCCCTCTTCCTCTCAATCTTCCTCTCATCCCTCGCAACATCAGCCGCCCTCATCACTTCAGCCCTCTCAGCCTCCCTCGCGCGCCTCTCCTCCTCGGCCCTATCCTCATCCCGACACCTCCTCCCATCCAAAACTCGTTGCCTCGCGCGCACCTCCTCGTCAGCCTCCATCTCCTTCCACAACTCCCTCTTCTTCCTCCCCGCCTCATACAACTTCTCCTCCGCAGGCGTCCTCTTCCCCTCCGCCCTCAACCTCCGATCCCTCTCCATCCGCCCCATCGCCAACCTCACCCGCGTCTCCTTGCTCAGCGGCACCCCCATAAACACGATCCTCGTCTCGGTCCCGTTCGGCAGCCCTACCACAAACTCCCTCTGCGCATCATTCACCTTCACCACCTCCTCAAACAAATCCAGCTGCCCCTCCTCATCCTCGCACCCCAAAAACCTCTCCCGCACAATCCGATCCACATACACGCAAAAGTTCGTCGTGAACCCCCGGAACATCTCCTTGCACCCCTTCGCATCGATCCCCCTCAGCTTCTCCAGCTCAACCTCCTCCGCCGCCCGCACAAACACAACCCCCCGCTGCACATCCCGGTCCCACCCCCGGAAACTCCCCCAGTCCCGCCGGTACAGACAGCTCCGGTCCTTGTGCTTCCCCACATACGTCATCTCCAGCTTCCGCAGCTCCGGCAGCCTCTCGCGCAGCTTCGTCAGGTACACCGCGTGCTTCCGCACCACCTCGGGCCGGATCGCCAGCTCCCGCAGCCCGCGGCACTGGTTCAGCACCCCCCAGAACTGGCACCACCGCTGGATCGGCTGCTCGAGGTACTCACCCGTGAACAGATTCACGCTCGTCTTCAGGCTCTTGTCCGCCTCCTGGAACCCGCCCACGTACACGCTCCGCAGCAGCCGCCGGTACGCCTCGCGCAACCTGCTGCCCACCGCGACGGTGAACTCGTCCGAGCTCTCGAACACGAACGTGTTCTCGCCCCAGAACAGCGGCGCCGCCTCCGCGTGCACCTGCCGGCTCGCGAGCAGCAGGTTCAGGCCCCGGCGCTTCGCGCAGCGGCACTGCGAGGGAGCGTCCCAGGGGTACAGGCGCGGCTCGACAAGCTCGAGCGTGGGCTCGAGGACGAGGTGCGCGGGCGGCTCGATGGAGGTGCGCGTGTGGTTCTGGCGGAAGTGGCAGTCTGCGTGGTGGTCGAGAGAGTGCTTTGGCGGGGACACGAGGGCGGCGCGCCAGATTTGCGTGCGGAGCTCGAGGGGCAGGCCGAGGAGGGTCTTGGAGGAGGAGTGGATCTGGTTGGGCGCGAGGGGGATGGTAAGGGTTAGATTAGCCATTGTTTGATGATATTGTTTAATGTTGGTGATGGTGATGGCTTCGTCTGGATGCGTGGTGCCGATGCCTGGCCTGTTGCGACCGGATGGCTGACGATTCAATGGAATTGATTGATTTCGCTCTTGAAACTTGTTGCTAATCTACAGAAACACCAAACAGCCTGATAAATGCGGCTCGGGGTTATCAGTGTCTTAAAGGCAGGCAGCCGTGAGCCGCAATGCAGGCCGCTTCACTCATCCAGTGGACAGCAAACGCACGGAGGCAGCCGCCGGATGAGTCACGGCGCCGGAAAACTAAGGGTGCTTGAGGCCAATGTTGCCTGGCAGTCTGCCTGGAAACGCATTGATAGCACGAAACTGCGGCCAATTGGCGACGGATTGCAGGTCGAACGCCATTTGGAGAAAGCCGGTTGGTGAACTGGCTCGGGAGGGAGGCTCAGTGAGGCGGTGCTGACAACGGCGCCGCCGGCTGGTTTGCTGCGGACGAGGGGGCTTCTCCGCAATCTCACGGCTTGGTCTGCAGCATGCTCCATCTCACATTCGCGATGCAGCGAATTGGGTTGGGGGGCGTGTCATTCTGCAGATATGGATTCAATTAGGCTCGCTACGTAATTTCTGTTGAGAGTTGAGGTCGTTACTGTCGTGTCTGTTCAAATTGGGAAAACATCATGCAGCGCCAGACTCCTTAAACCGATAATGCCCACATTTTCCGGCAATGATGCTTAGCCCTGTGCAATGACGTCGCGGATAATCTTGTTGCAGTCGACTGGATTCTCGAATACGAACCAGTCATCGCGAGGAACGTTCTTAAACGCCTTCTCGAAGCGCTCCGGTTCGTTCTTGGCAGCGAGACCCACGGCTGCGATGTCTGTCACCTTGCGGATCAGAATGAGTTTGACCCAGCCCTTAAACTGGCGGTAGCTGTGTAATGTTAGTCAAATTCCACATATTCTGGACGGTAAGTACTCACATGTCGCCATAAGCCTCGGGGTCCGATTGCGTCGAGTCGCCAATGAGGATCATCTTCCGCTTGGGAAGCCATTCATGCACCTTTTTGATGCGCTCCACCTTGTACTGTTCCGTCGCCAGAGTCAAGGCCGACAGCAATCCTGCAACGGTCTTCCAGCTGGAATCGCGGAGAATGATGGTTCCAGGGGGGTAGTACTGGTCTCGGAACTCCCTCAGGAACGGGTAGAGGTTGTACGGAGACGCGGAGAGGTAGAACCACGGCGAACCCTGAGGCAGCATTGCCTGAATATTCTTGTATAGCTCCGGCATGCCCTCGATTGGTGTCGGCTCATTGACAAAGGTCTCGCGGAGGATGCCAATGGGATCGCTCGTCTGGGTCAGTTTGATGGTGTCGTCAATGTCTGCAACTATTAGCCGATGTCCACCCAAAAGCAGCATTCAAATACATACCTGAAAGAATGGACCACCCCTCAGGCTCCGCGAAGAAGGTGTGCATCTTCAGCAAACCAGATGTCCCCTGCGGCACCATGGCGCTCGACGAAACCATCGCGCCCGCCGGCTGCTCGTGAATCTTCAACGTGTCGGTGCTGATGCCGTTCGACGCCGAAGGTCCCAGCTTGAGTTCCTTCTTGTGATTGATAACCCGCAGGTGTCGCGACGGCTGCACATCCCACAAGAACGGCAGTATCCTCTCCTCGATTGTCTTCAACTCCTCCGCATCATCAGCAAGTCCCAACTTTTTCGCGACACCCTGCACGATGTCGACCACCTTGCACTTGGGCTCCTTCTCGAACACGGCGGCGATAAACTCGGCTTGCCAGCTGCCCAGCCGCGAGGGCTTGTATGCGGTGTTGTCCATCAACCAGACAATGTCATCCTCGGTCACGGGTCGGCCCCACGGGTTGTAGCTCCCCAGATGCGACAGGAGGCCGCTGGCGGTGAAGAAGGCCGACTGCAAGGTCGGGACGGTGGGGTTGGGAAGCTCGGCTTCCACGTCGTCGAAGCGACGCTCTCGGCGGGTTTGTTTCTGCATTTCGTCTGCGTAGGACGCGGCGGGGCTCTTGGATTCGTCTTGTCCACCCATGATTGCGACTGCTGCGATGATCGGTATTTAAGTGCTGCTTGTTCGCGTCTGCCTTCTCTTGTCTCTTGTTTGCCTCTCAAAGGTCACTCGGATCAACAGTTGGAAGTGTGACTAGATTTCGGTGTTATTGGTGCCTTGGCGGCGAAGTGGTTGGTAGGCTGACGGTTCAGGGCTCAAAGGAAGACCGTGTGTGTCGAGAAGCAGGCGTTCCTGGTTGAATGGAGACTCGAGGGAAGGATGGGCGAGATGATGGAGGCAGGCTGTACGGGAACTGGCGCTCCCAAGTAGGTGTCGTGTCTCAGCCCTCAGCCGGGGCAGCTGTATTCGTATCGGCGGCGCGACCAAACATCTGCCCCAACGGCTGCCCCAGAAAGGCACGGCTGGGTCGCAGGGCAAGTCCAGTCGATCGGATGCATTATGTCAGAGCTAGCTCGTTTGGCTGCATCGTCTGTGTGGGAGGCGCCCGTGACATGGTTTAGGGCGAGCTGTGACAGGACAACCATCAGATGGCCTGGTAGCCCGGTGGTGAATTGGTCGCAGCGCGTCTTGGCTGAAATATGCCCCTCCAAGGACCCGTGTGACTCGCCTGCAGGGTGACCGGTCGATGACGATGGGCAGATCTGCTGCAGGCGAAGGTGTGTCGGAGGCGTAGGAAAGATGGAGGGGCAAGGGGCTGGTGGATTGGGGCTGGCAGTTGGACGAAGCGACGCACCAGCGGGGGCGGGAGGCATCCGGGGCGCCCTGGTCCTTGTCTTGGCGGATGCGTTCCGAAAACATCCCGACTCGCGATTGGGGGTTCGCCAGCGTCACGTGGAGCAGACGCACGGTCCATGCAGCCAAACACTTTCCAAGCTCACGCATGCAAGACTGGAAGTCATTGAACATGGGATAAACTCTCTTGATCAACTCCAAAAGTAACAGTGAATGGGTCGAAAATGAGGTTGACTAGGGAGAAGATAACATGCATCAAAAAGCAAAAGTAATGTCCTCGGAGAGGCTCGAACTCTCGACCTTTGGATGTCTCTGCCTGTGGCAGGGTCATATTGATTAGATAATATGAGACCAACGCTCTACCGACTGAGCCACGAAGACAACTTGTTGTGGCGGGGTGGAAGCAAAAGATGACTATGACCCCTAGCAGAGCGTCCCCACTGACAACGGTCTACGATTTCTAACGTTCCTGAGCCCCTTTGGGACCTTGAGAGATTTAATCGCATAGTCAAAGTAACCACCTGTTTCAAAGCTTCAACCAAAGTTAGTTCTTTAGAATGCACTGCTCAAAGGTCTGTTCGTCCGAGTCGACTCGCGGAGAGTGGTCCATCTCCGAAAGTGGAAAACAGATTGTACAAGACAACGCCTGAATTTGGACGCGGACGAAAATACGGTGTACAGATGGAGTCAGCTTTGTATTTCTTTCGGAAATGCTCATCAATTCAACCCGATTGATTGGGAAGACAAAAACGTAAACATGTGAAAGCATCTTCAACCTCGCTAAACGAGCGTGCTTCAAGATCCCATTGGTTTGCTGTTGAGTGCATAGTCCGGGCAGTCCGCCAATGTTCTTGCTTGGGTCGTATTATTGAAGACTCCACATGAAGTTCAGCTGAATCAGCTGCGGCCCGCGGAATGGATTGCAAGTAAGAATTCGGAAGGCTATCACTGTGACCAGGTAGCCACTCGACTGGTCTGTCTCACCTGTAAGCAATTCCGTGCCCCGAGGCTGCCTGGAAGAAGACAGCCACTCCGCTGTATCGGGCAAACCATATCTACGTACACTTACCATATTCGTCCCCGAAAGTCACTATCAGCAGCAGACGGCTGACTGCAACGCCGCACGACGAGGCTGCGTGTTCCGCTGACCACCTTGTCGCCGGCATCTCGTGTGAACTGGCCACTCATGTGAAATTCCACATATCACAGTGACACAAGATGAAGACTCACATCATGATGGCTCGGCTGAAAAGAACAGCCTGCATTCTTCCTCAGCGGTCCATTCCGCACGAATCGAGTATATAAGTATCCCGCACTTTCATCTTTTAGACATCTTTAACCGCATAATCTATCGTCTATCATTCCAAATTTGATCACGGTTGAACATCATGGCTCGCATTCAGGACTTCGAGGGTATGCAATACTCTCGCACCGGCGATGAATCCGAGCAGCTGGACTACGCGTTCTTTAACCAACAATATGCAAGTTCAACGTACCAAAAGGAACACGACATGAACCCCAGCCTCATCGTCCGTCCCAAACATGACGAAGACGTAATCAGGGCCGTAAACTGGGCGCGCGACAACAAAGTTGCCGTTGCCGTCAAAAGCGGTGGTCACCAGTACTCCGGTGCATGCTCTACCTCCGGGAACAATATTCAGATCGACCTTTCCAACACCTACAAAGATCTGATGGTCCTCAAACCCAAGGACCCCGTCGCCGAGGATCGCACCCTTGTTTACATGGGCGTGAGTACCACAATGATGGAACTCAACCAATACCTCAAGCATAACAAACTCTTCGTCCCGACGGGCCAATGCGCTTCTGTCAACGTCGGTGGACATGGTCAGACCGGGGGCTACGGCCAGCTTGGCCGTAGCTTTGGTCTCTTCGGCGACAGCATCAGAACCATCCGCCTTGTTCAACACGATGGCGTCATCCGCGATGTTACCAAGAATAACAATCCGGATCTGTTCTATGCTATTCTTGGCGGAAGCCCAGGCAACTTTGGCATCATCACGCATTACATCCTCGAGGTGTACAAGTCGAAGAGTTACCTGGGCACAGTGGCTGGCCCAAATAACTTCAAGGGGCCACACGGCATCAAGGCGCTCTGGATTTACTCCCGCGAAGTCCTCGAAAAGCTACTCACAGCTGTGGCCAAGATGGCCGCTGATCCTACCTTTCCCCGCGGCTTTGACCTCTGTGTGAGTGTCCTGAGTACAGAGTTCCCCATCACCACGCTCTTCCAAGAGTTGAATGACGCAACGGTCTGGGAACGCGTGCAAGCCCACATTAGGAAGGTTCTCGAGGATAAGTTCCTGGACTTCTTGAACGGCAAGTTCCCCGCTTCAATCATCCTCTACGCACAATGGTGTCCCACCAGCAAGGAGGACAAGTACGACGCCAAAGTAGACGCCTGGTTCGACAACTTCCGCCAGCTCAAGAGCCGCCTGGAGGATGAGATGCTACAATTTGGCGAGTTCGATATGGAAATGTCGGATATGACAGGCCAGTGGCTCTTCCCCAAGGAGCGCGAGTTCGATCTGCCGTACGTCAAGCGTGTCTATTCGACCAACTCGACCACTCTCCTCAAGGACGGGTGGGTCAAAGACGTCGTGGACCGGATTGACCTCATCTACAACCCGAAGCAGTACCTCGACGGTCAGCCTGGCGAGAAGAACTACGAGCGGTACCTACGATGCAAGTTGTCGGTGCAAATCCAGTGCTTCGGCGGGGAGAAGTCGCAATTCTATGCCAACAGGAACAATGGCACCTCGTACAGCTGGAGAGACACGACCGTCTGCCAGACGCTGGATTGCTTTCACGAGGCGGACGCTGAGTCGAAGAAGTATGCCGATGCGTGGCAGGCGAAGAATGATGCTGTGATGAATGGACCGGACAGCTCATTCAGTAAACAGGACAGACGTCTTCTCTGGGGCTCTCATGGAGATTGGAACCTTGGAGATGAGAAGGTTTGGAGGTGTTACTATGAGGATGAGCAGAAGTATCGGAGGCTTGGGAGGGCGAGAGCGAAGGCAGACCCGAACGGAACTTTCACGGCGAACCCGTTCGCTGTGACGGCAGTTCATGATTCCACTTAAGAATTTGAGCGGGCGAGCGAACAAAATGTTTCTATCTTCATAACTTGAGTATTCACAATAGGCATATTATTTAGGCGTCTAACGAAATTCCAGATACAGCTCAAAGCTACATTTCTCTCCTGCGCTGTATGTGATTAACAGTATTCGATACTTTGGAATGAAACCCATATCATTTGAGGCTTCGTCCGACGTTTTTCAAAATCAAGTAATCAGTATTGCTATTCGCTCTATGCATGTTTGGCATGGCGATGACGGTTCAGCCCGGCGTCGCACGCTCGTCGGCGGGAAGCTGTTTTAACCATTAGTGGAAATTTGTCTGCCAATGCATCTCAGACCGGGGGATGGCACTGTATCTGACATTTCGCAATTGCGGGGCGGTGTATGGTGTGGTACGAGAATACTCGTTGGATATGCTTGTCCAATGACAAACTGACATGCGAAGATCCAATGGTTTGGCAGGATAACCGACGATCTCGTGACATTGCGGCACAGCCTGATATCGCAGAAAAGCCTTCGGGAAGCTCACGTTTGTCTTCTGCAACTATGCACCGCTTTTTGACACGCAGCGGATTCTTTGGGCAGTTTCTGAGTCTTTCCGTTCCCAGCCCAATTGTACCCATCTTGACTGGTGAACTCCAACGAGTTCCTCTCCGACCCAAACTACCTAGTAGGAACAAACATCAGGCGATCACTGATCAGCCTGATCTTTCAGCATGACTGAAGTTCTAGGTATAGTATCCGGTGCTATCGCCGTCGTGGATTTCACCACAAAAGTCGGAAGGGCCAGCTTGAGTTTGAAGAGACTATTGGACGAATTCAACAACATACCCGAAACGCTACTCCGGAAGACGAGGCAATTACAAGAATGGAATGAGTTGTTCGATGAAGCCGAACGGCAAATACCACCTGATGCTCCGTCTGCGCTAGCTAGGAACCGAGCCTTGCTCCAGAAATTTGCTGGTAAATTCCACGCAGTTTCGGCAGAAATTCAGGTCATGGTTGATAAGCTGCTCGATCAATCCACAAGTGGTCGGCGATACAAACGCAAGATAGGGGCAGCAAAGGCAGTCCTCCGGAAGGACGATATCAAAGCTTTAGACGCTAAGTTGGACGAAGCCTTAGCGCAGTTTCAACTAGCATTATCGTTATACACAGCGTATGTTCAATAAGTTTCACTGCTTCATTTGCGCATTTCATTACTAATATCACACACGCCTTATGAATAGAGCAACATTGATAACCAACCCAATCTTCGCCATTGAAAGACAGAAAGAAAACATCCAGACGCCAGACAACGGCCAACCTGAAGACATCGAAAAGTCAGACAACGAACAGAATATCAATGACTCTCCTAAAGCTCCTTCGGATTCCAGTGGTGTGGGCGCCAATCGCACGGTCATTTGCACTACCACCGATCCCCCAGACATCTTCACCATTTCGCCCAGCTCTACAGTGTTTGGCAGGCTCCGCTTTGCGTTCGGCTCACATGGGAGATTCCAGTTCTCCTTGAGGACACCAGACTGGCTTTCTTCGTCTGTGTACTCTTTGATAGCCTCCAAAAGCATCGTAGGATGGAAGGTCCATTTTAGAGCCTACGGAGTGATTCCATCTTTTGACCAAATTGGTCTGGTGAAGCACTTCCGGGACGACAACGCTGTGGCCATCTTGAAATCTCTAGACGAACACAAAATGACTCCGTTCGTACGCGAGGTCAAGGGGATGAGCTTGCTGCACGTAAGCCGCATAGCTGATAGACGAATTATACGACGAACTTCACTGACTCATATGTCAACAGATGGCTTGTTGCTACAGCAGTGTAAATTTCATGAGTTTATTGCTTGAAATGGGAATTAGGCTTCCCATGTCTGACCAGGACACAGATACATTTCCCGGGTGAGTTCTCCTGGAATCCGAAAGTCATTGTGTAGCTGACCAGATGAAGTCCCAATTGGCTTTGGATGATGCTCTCAAGGGGTTTGCAGTCACATGCATTATGCGGCCGAAAATTCCCTTATCCTGCGCGAAAGATCCTTCAAATGCTTAGAGACCATGGCGTAGACGAATCGGCGTTTGAAGGTCCCAGAGACTTCATGGCGAGTGGTCTGCTTCTTCCGGTAAACGTACTTAGTAACTTGATGGGAGAAGAGTACTGCTCAATTCCCATTCGGCATAGATTACGACATGCTCGTCGCGCGGCGGATTTCTCGGCCATCGACGATTTCGAACATTTGTTGTCTTGGCTACCAGAAGCGACGCGTGATCCATGCGCTTTACTGAAAACATCTCGCCAGCCAGGGATATGCTCCTTCATACATACAATTGCCCGCCACATAGCAGCCCATCTCGCATATCGGCCATTCAACCGAACTACGCCAATTTCCCAGCATCGATGGTTCGAATCCGTTCGAAATTACCTCGCTTTAGACATTGAGGGAGCTATTCACGTCGAGACCGGCGATAGTTTGGTCCATGGTGCTAGAGGAGAAACCCCCTTCAATGCCATGTTTTGTCAACTCGCGTCTTCAGCCAAATATCTGCAGCATATCCAATGGCCGGTTCAGTTTTGGATTCTCGCGTTATTCTCATGCGGCGTCGAACTCTTCAAATACGGGCGAAATGAGAAAGCACTTTATCAGCAACAGGTGGTAAAATACAGTCAGCGGGCATTCATTAGTGCAACTAAACGCGGTCAACCGTCAAGCAGAATATCCATCATCGGCATAACGTATGGCTCCCATCCAGAACACTGGAGGGTTTGGTGGGCTTTTGAATACGAGGACTTTGCTGGAGATTTCTGGCGCTGGATAGAGCGACCTGGCACTGAAGAGCCCGAGTTGGCAATTCCCGGTAGCTGGGTAGAGGATTCTAAGGATCCCGTGGATGTAGAGAACAACAGAAGTTTTGAATGGAGTCAGGAGGAGGAGCTCCCGTTGATTTGGTCCGAGTACCGCAAAATTCGGCCACCGATTTGAGAATACAGAATCTCCTGGCAGCTGAAGATCAGTCTAGAAACTCGTAAAGATGAGAAGGCAGACCGTGATGGCGCATTCATACGAATGAACTTCGCAAATGCTGAGATAGCACGATATTGAATCGAATCTTTGCACTCCAACTTTTGCCAACTTTTGTGAACCATGAAAGCGGAAAGCGAATGCATACGCCGTCATTGCTATCCTTGAGTCTAGACCCTGGCTGATTGAAAATGTTCTTGACAAGAGATCTTCTCAGCTCCGCGTATTATCTTCTAGTGGGTAATTGACGGAGAGTACTATGGAACCATGATAGCCCTTTTGACTTTCGGTTTTTGATTGGTTTGGCTTGAGGAACAGCAGATCGTTTCCTTGTGGGGATTGCTGCGCAAAAGATGACATATCGTGCATAGGTGCGAGAAGCTGCATGCGGGTTTGCCAATAAGGACCCGTCTTGTGAGACAGCCCTCGCACAGCGCACATAGACACAGCCTCAATCTCTCTCTCGTATATTTTAAGGCGCCCTCGGCAAAGTCGAACTCTTTTCTGTTTTCTTTCGGCTTAATTTTACGACGCATCCCTTCGGGAGTCAGTTGAATCGAACATCAGGTTTCTGGTGATGTACGAATGATGGCTGAACCTCTAGGTATCGCGTCGAGCGTTTTTGCCGTCGTGGATGTGGCCACTAAGATTGGGGTCGCGACTATCAAGCTGAAGAAACTCTGGAATGAGGTCAAAGAAACCCCAAAGATGCTCTTTCACAAGGCAGAACAACTTCAGGATTTCGAGGAGTTCCTTATCGACGCTGAAATCCAGATATCCACCAGTCCATTGCCGACGACGTCTTGGAACAGCACTCTCCTCCACAAGTATATCGTCAAAGCTCGCATCGCCTTGGCAGAGCTCCAGCAAATAATCGACGATCTCCTCGAGCAGGCTACCAGTGGATCTTCGTACAGACGTAAAATGGGATCAACGAGGGCAGTGCTCAAGAAGGACGATATCAAAGCATTGGACGCCAAGCTTGACCAGGCCTTGAATTTGTTCAAGATGGCACAAGGCCAGTACATGATGTAGGTTCATTTTGCCCAATTGGCGGAAGGGGTCAAGTCGCTGGATACTCAAATACTAATTGGGAGTAAACAGAGCCATGATGTCCCACACGTCCGATTTTCAAAAAGAATCATTGCCCTCTGATACTACTGTAAACGCCAGATTTGTCTCCTCGTCGAAACCCACACCACACATCTTTGGCAGGACTGCCAGCCACAAAAGTGTTTACACCAAAAGCTCAGTTATGGATGTCTTCACCATGTCTCACGAGCGAACCCTTTTTGGGAAGCTATGCTTCGCTTTCAACTTTAGCGATCGATTGGAGTTCTCGTTGAGGACGCCGGACTGGCTTTCACCTTCAGTCTATTCAATAATGTTGCAAAGGAGCACCATCGGGTGGCAATTCAGTTTTAGAGCTTACGAAGTTGTGGAGTATTTCCCTGGTCATGAGTTGACCAAATATGTGGCGATGGACGATGCGGGTGGCTTGTTCAAGTATCTGAGCGAGCATGGAATAAGCCCCTTCGTGCGCGATAGGAGGGGCCACACATTATTACGAGTAAGCCTCTCAGTTGACTTTTATCATGTGAACTAGCTACTAAACGACAACACGGGAAGTTGGCGTGTCATCACGCATCACCCAAAGTAGCATCCTTGCTACTGGAGAATGGTCTAGGCTTTTCTGCTCTGGAGCCTATAGACCACAGTCATCGGTATTGTATTCCTCGATCGTTTCGTTACATAGAGAGTGAACTGACAGAGCACAGTGATTCATGGTTCTATTATGAGCTAGCGGCAAGTCACTTGTCCGTCTCCGTGCTCAATAACGAGCGGCAATGGCAGCCTCAAGAAATCATCCAGCTGTTTGCCAACCACAACCTCGACGAAGAGGACTTAGGCGGCCTCGAAACATTCAATGCATCCCCCCATGAACTATACGCACTTATTGCCCTATTCGGAGATAGGTACTTCACCTTT